TTTAACTAAAGGAACTAAAATTAAAATTTTGAACTAATGAAACCAACTAAGAAATAATAATTATAAAAAAAAAAATGGTCAAAAATTGAGGGAGAATGAAGGGCAGTCAAATGAAAATTAGGCTTGAAGATTTGGTAATATCCATGGAGGTGAGAGATGTTGTGTACTTTTATTTATCTATGAAAGGTATGAGTTTCGACATGTCGTACTGCACTGGCGCTGGCGGGGAACATCAATGATTGTGTCGTACTGGATTTTGGCGTGAGATGTAATTTAATTAGTTAGAAACTAGAATTACGTGGATTTTTTTTTTTGAAAGGGAATTACGTGGAGGGTTGATTGGGTGTAAATAAGGATATATGGCGGAGTAACTTTATGCCACCTCATAATCCTCGTATATTAAAATCTCAACTAAATCAACGCTAACACTATAATATATCTTTTTTTTTACACTGATTGAACCCTATTCAAATTGATCACATAATATATCTTTATTACTTTCTTTAGCTCCGGTGATCATATTTGGTTCAATATTCTTAGAAGTACTTTGATAGTACTTTCTAGGTCGAGTATTTGAGACCTAAAAATACTCTACATATGCTTTATCACCCAACAATACTTTGAAGTATTTTTTACTTTTTCAAAAATACTTTTCTGTTATTTTTTAAAGGGGATGAATTTTGAAGGGAGAATATTTTTTATCATAGCAAAAATATTTATTTGTATGAGCTAAATTTTGTCGGTGTATGAACTTGAATAGAGAATGAAAGATAATGATATAGTACAAATTTGGATGAGTGAAAGTGTAGTAGTTTTTTAATAACATGCTAATTATATATTATTAATTAGGCCTAAAAAGCAAGATTGTGATTGAATTGAAGTATTGTTGAATTTAGGTTACTAATTAACATTATGTTGACTAGTAGGCAAAAAAAAAAGTTTAAAATTGCGTCGGCAAATAAAGATAGAAATGATTGAGTAATATTGTGTGATGAAATGAATATTTCTTATAATCAAAGAATTTAAAAGCTTAAGCTTCACACCATTTGTCATTTGAGTTATATGCACCAAACCAAACCTCCAACACCATCATCATCCATCCATCACTCGTTCATCATTCCTATTACACAAACAACTATGGCTACGAGAAATTCTTAATAATGTGATTTTTTTTAGTTATTATTTTGGTCATGTAATTTTATTTGAATTTATTTTAGTTTCAGTACATTTCAAATACTATTTTGGTCATTGTACTATCACATATCCATTTTGATTCGTATACTTTTGAAAAGTGACAATTTTGATTTCATATTTGTAAAATTTTAATACAAATCATTTAAATAATATAAACCCTTTAATATAAATTTATGGTTACGATTAGTAAAGTGATGCTAAAGTTTTTATGGAAAAAAATGAGATGAAAACGAAAATGAAAAGAACGAGGTGATCACTATTTAAAAATACATCAGCGGCACCTAAAATAAATAAAAGTGGAAAGTATAAGGATGAAGATAGACATTTTAGATCAAACGAAACAAAATCAAGATTAGTTTATAAATTAAAGAAAAAGAAAAATGATGCATGGGATTGATGGGACAACACAACAACATTTACATTTCAAGATCCCAAGACACCAAAAATATTAATTGTTAAAACCCTCTTAACTCTGTGCTCTGTCCACCGCAAAATATAATTTTGGGATAAATTCCATTTCTTTTTTCTTCTTTCAAGTTTGGTCAATTTTTATGTCAAATTTTTTACTTCATAGAGTTGTACTTTTGTTAGTACAGCAAACATGGCACCAAGCATGATCAAATTGCATTTAGACTTTGATAAATATTGTTATGAAATTTGTCAATAAAATATATTCTCACCTAGGTTTAATAGATTTCAAGTCACAATTGATAGATCTTTAGGGAAAGATAAAATTAGAGTTGAATTGTTTTGTTGAAATTGGTAAGATTGAAATATATATATGAGACCTAGATTTAGTTCGATGAAATTTAATGTTAAATTGACACTAAACTAAAAAACTTAAAGTTGGTGCGTATTCTAACATTTAAAGATTGAGGTCAAAATTGATGCAGGTTAAGAGATCAAAGTTGAATCATTCCCCTATTCAATTGTTGGTGTTATTATTCTAATATTAATAGTTGATGTACGATTCTAGAAGAGGTGAAGGGTTGGCTACTAATCTGATGTGGATGTCCAAATCGCTGAGGTGATGACTGCAATCAAAACTTTACTAGTGTGACACTCAATCACCTACACTTTGAAGCTTAGATTAGTATTTAGTTTGAGCTGGTGTGGGACCAAACTTAGGAAGGATGCATAGAAATGGACCCTATCTTTCATAGGGGAAGCTTTGAAAAAAATTGTCCTAAAATTTCATCCCTCTAGATCTAGTGTTTAACAAATTTTATGTCGGCGATATCCACAGTCAAAAGTACTTTTTCTGAACCATATTGCCCCCGACCTATTTGAGTTAATGTTCAAACACGTGTCTCCCAATGAGAGGAATTAAGTGGCAGACTTTGATTCCACCTATAAGTTAATCAACCCTATAGAACAATATGGGGGATGGAACCTCGACCTGAAGGATAAATCATCTATTATTGCACGAAATGGAATAATATATGGGGTTGTGTTGGAGGGGAGTGATGAATGAAAGAGGGAAACATAAATTCCGTGGAAGCTTGTGTTGTGCTTGAGTTGCTCTTCCCGTCGCCATATCAACATCTGATCCTGCGGTGGCGTTGCTGTTGCTAGCTGCTCTGTCTCTTTCCCTCTTTCTATATATATTCATCGATTACAAAGACAACGTAAGTTTGTTGGTATCGGCATTTTCTGCTCTCATTTCTCCAATCCCAATTCAACCATAATTCCCATTTCCTATTGTTTTCCACTATGTACTACACCACAGCTTCCCCTCCCTTTATTTTGGTGTAGAGAGAGAGAGAGAGAAAAAAGAGTTTTTATTATTATAAGAAGAAGTTGAGAGAGAGGGCGTTGAAATGGCGTGTGTGGGAATTGGTTGAGAGGTGTTTTTTCTTTCTCCAACACCAACCTCCATTTCTCTTCCTCTTCCTTCTCCCATTTCGATGACAAGGTCCTGGTCCTCTTTTGGTAAATTATCCAACTCCAACTACAGCCGCCGCCTCGACGACGATGACGGCGACGGCGGC